TTCGTTTATTGTGAATCAGTGCTCTTGATTGTTTTCATCTATGCACTGATTGTTAAAAAAATGAGAATTGTTGATTTAGTTTATTTGCTTTTCCTTTTATTTGATGGAAAATAACATGGAAAATTGGATGGAAAATTAACATGGAAAATTTGATGGCAAATTAGCATGGAATATGATTGATAGTTCAGATTTTTACGCCTTTTGATTTAGTGTTATGTGTTGTTTGGAGAAAAATGTGTTCTGTTTCATATGTATACTATTTGTTTAGAGGAGGAGATGTTCTGTTTAGAAATGGATCTTGTGATGGTAAGGCTGCTGGTTTAATGTGGTATGTTGTTTGGAGAAGAGCATATTCTATTTGATATGCTATTTGTTTGGAGGGGTGGGGGGTGAAGGTGTTCTGTTTAGAATCTGGATCATATGATGGTATATGTGCTTGTTTTGAGTGCTGATGTAAGGTGGTTTTTTGGTAAAAGAAGTGTTTGTTTTGTTTGATTTATTTATTATGAAAAGTGTTCTGTTCTAAGCATGGATAATAATTGGTTTACTATGTAGTTCTATAATTGGATATGACTTTATAAAAAATGTATATTCTATTTGTTTCTTGTTAGTTCTTTCTTTTTGTTTTTCAAGCTATATATAGGAACCTTTTGTATTGTTAGAAGGTGGTTCATTGCTATAGGTTAGACAAACAGCCTGCCTTCTTAGAATACTTATATTAGGCTTCTAATTATTGTTTAGCCTATCTACATGAGAGAAATCTTTGATAAGAATCATGGCTTCGGCAATGGACTGATTGTCTTATAATTATTTACAGGTCATGGACTTACCAGCCATGCAAGTAGTGATGCCTTTCCATCCTCTTCTGAAGCAGATTACCAGTTACTTGAGCTTCCCTGATCCAGATTACCAGTTTGTTGATGAACCTGGAAGCATTGCTTGCGTGATTGTAAAAACAGATTGCGGTCCCATTGCTTCTGTTTATATTGGGGGTTATACTAAGAGTATAGAAGAGTCCTGTGAAGTGGCTGCTAGGAAGGTTGTCTATGATCTTATGAAAAAATATGATATAGTGGTTGAGGATGTGACCTACTTGAGGAAACAGATGTATGATCGATGTGGTTAGTTGTTTTGGTTCAAGAAGGAGGAGTTGGAACGCATTGAGAGAGATTACCCTAAAATCTGTATGTATGATGATATTCCTTTTGGACTTGAAAACAATCACAAGAAGATTGTAGTCGACTTTGTTGTGATTTTAAGGGCTATCTTTAGAACTGTTGATATAAAATGCACTCCGATTGAAACCATTGAGCATTCTCCTGTTCGGTACACTTCATGGTTTACTGTTACACCTCATAGAGAAGGTATAGGATTCCGGTGTCTATTTAGTGACTATTGCCGGACTGCAGCTTTAGCAAAACAGAACCTAGCTAGAAAGGCTGTGGACTACCTTTCTGATGTCTTTAACCTTGTAATAATTGATGCTAATTATAAGGTGACAACAGCTAGTTTTGATGCCATCCTATGTACCTTAGAGAGGGAGAGCTATACAGGTATCAAGGAACGAGTGTTAGGCATTCAGGAGCAGTTAGAGCCTCCTACAGTTCTTATTGAGCAAGACTGTCTTACTCCTCTTGGACAGGAGTTTCAGGTTCCTGTATCTATTCCACCTCTTTTGCCTCCTAAGAAACGCCTGCTGCGACATATATATGCAGAAAAAAGTCTTGTTCTTGATTCCAATTGTGAGATGGTTTCGATGTTTCCAGTGCCACAAGATTTAGAAGGCTGTTTGAAGCGTGCAAAGTCTGTTAAGCATTAGAAGCTTTTAGTGTCTGTCTGGAAATTAATACTGCTACGGATGTATTTCTTAGCTCTTTTTGCTTTTCTTTTTTTGTATCGAGCTAAGTTACTGCTTTGCTGCGCTAAGACTATTTTAGGACTGGCTTATATGCTTTTTTATGGTGTAAGGCTTGTGTTAAATTTGATTAACTAAGATTTCTTTTGTGATAAGTTGTTCTACAGCTAAACTTATGTATTATATTATATTTCCTGAGATAATGCAATGGAGTTGGTTAAATCTTTTGTTATATGAATTCTGTTGAAAGTAATCTTTTGATTTATAAAATATGCAGTCTTTATGTATACCCATCCTTTTATTATTATTCATGTTAGTTAGTTACTTATAACATGTTATGCCTTGGAACCAGGATTGATGTGCTAGAGGAATTCAACTCTTGGACAACACATTATTAATTGTAGCTTGATAGTTGGTATACAACTATTTACATATGAGTATGTCCTGCACCATAGCTTTGCCACTTCATAGCTAATTTAGATATGCAGCTTAAGTTTTCTAAATATTTTATTTGAATGAGGCTCTTATAGATCGTTTGATATGGGAACCATCATCTTCAAAAGGATATCGCACTAAACGCCTTAAAAGTTTAGAGTCTGCATCTCAGGATGAATTGCAGAGGTATATATACAGGAAAAAAATGAATTATGTTTGACATGTTGTATTAAGGCCACTGGTTAGTTAGCAGTAGCAGTACCTTGTTTCATGCTTAAAGAAAAAACTACAGTGACATATACATGGTGTATTGCTTCTGCTTTCCTAGATTGCAGCCTGAGCCTATCACAAAACCTGCAAAGATACCCAAGACTAGACATCCAGTGACAAGTAACCAAATTTTTACTAAATTTTGTACCTTTTCATTTGAATTATGCATGTTAATCTATGTATACATATATGACTGTTTTATGGGTATACTGTGATGAGCAGGGATTCTTGATGCAGCAGTTGGTAAGAAATTACCTACAGAGGCCTACCAACTTCCTTCTCCTACTGAATGTTTAAAGTGTAGAGCGCGCAAATTTGCTTTTGAAACACCTCACTTCTGTTGTTGCAATGGTGAGGTTAAGATTGCTGCAAATGATTGCCCTGCACAGCTTCTGAGGCTCTTGACTTCTATGGAAGAAGATGCAAAGCATTTCAAGCAATACATACGCTTGTATAACAACATGTTTGCATTTACATCATTAGGTGGAAAATACGATGCTGAGACCAAAAAAGGGATTTATGTTCTTAAGCTGCATGGTCAGCTATACCATTATATCCCCTATTTACTGCCTGGAAAGGAAGGACCCAAATATATGCAGCTCTATTTCTATGATGGACAGCTTGAAGCTCAGAAACGGCTAGGGTGTTTTCCAGAATTAAGAGAAGATGTGTTGGCTATTCTCATGGAGGTTACTAAAATAAATCCTTATGCGAGGTTCTTTCGTTCGTTGAGAGAAACCCAAATAACTGAATCTACACAAATTTTGATAAATAAAACAACTGTACCAGATCAGCGTGTCTACAATGCTCCTTCCACTGATGAAGTAGCTGTCATATGGCCGGAGAATGCATCTTCCAGTGAGGCACAAAGTCCCCATATTTTGGTAAAAGCAAAAAAGGATCCATCTCAAGGGGACTTTACTGATGCTGATTCAGCTGATGATGATTATTTTGAGAATGAGTCATCTAAGAATGATAAAGCTGAGAGAAAATCATGTCATAGAATCATGCATTATTATGGTTGTTATGACCCTTTACAATATCCAATACTTTTTCCTTACGGTGATTGTGGATGGACTCAAGGCTTAAAAAATGTCTCAAGGTGGAGTTCAGCAATTGCAATCGCAGCCTGATCCTGTGGCTTTATGTAGTGTTCATACTGCTGAAGATTTACTAGAAGAAGAAGCAAGACGTATGTGCACTATGCTTGCTTAATTATTTATAAAAGTCAAGAAGTTTTTAGTTTATTGCTTATTTCTGTTCTGCTTTTTAATTAGAGCACAATATTTGTATTTGTAAGTGCAAGTGGAGGTTCTTCAAAAACAGACAGGAAAATTTCAGCAAGGGAGTATTATGCGTACAAGTTTCAGTGTAGGCCTAATAACATGCTACTTAGAGCAGGTCGATGCTTTCAGCAGTACATAGTAGATATGTATGTAAAAGTGGAGAATACACGTTTGGATTTTTTTCGGAAAAATCAGCAGACTATAAGGGCAGATCTCTATCAAGGAATCCTAGATACCATTGATTGTGGAGAAAACTGTGCAGCAAATGTGGGTCGTAAGGTCATTTTACCTCCAACGTTCATTGGTGGTCCTCGAGACTTTAAAAAGAGGTACCTAAATGCAATGGCATTAGTCCAGCGGTTTGGAAAGCCTTATCTTTTCATTACAATGACCTGCAATGCTAATTGGCCTGAAATTAAGCAAGAACTTGATGTTGGAGAAAAAGCACAGGATAGACCAGATATAGTTGCAAGGATCTTTAGAGCAAAAGTTCTTGCTTTAAAGAATTTGATAAAAAAAAAAAGGTATTTGGAGAAGTTGCAGCAATGATCTATATCATTGAATTCCAAAAGAGAGGTCTACCTCATGCTCATTTTTTATTCATTTTAAAGAAAGACTACAAAATCAAATGCCCTTCTAATTTTGATAGATTTGTATGTGCTGAGATACCGTCTGTTGATAATACCTATCTTAGGAAAGTTATACCCAAACACATGATGCATGGTCCATGTGGTCATTTGGATCTAGAGTGTCCTTGTATGAAGCACAAGGAAAGTCGTGGTCGTTGTAAGTATGGTTACCCAAAGCAGTTCTGCGATGAAACAAGGAATAGCAGTGATGGTTATCCACTGTATCGAAGAAGTGACACTGGAGAAACTTTTACAGTTCGAAAAATAGTCATGGATAATAAATGGGTTATTCCATATAATCCTTATCTTTCTTCGTATTTTGATTGTCACTTAAATGTTGAAGTTTGTTCCACTATAGAGGTTGTCAAGTATTTATATAAGTATGTGTATAAAGGCCATGATAGAATATCTTTCAATATTGTTCAGTCTAAAGATACTATGCCAGTCCAAGATGAAATTGAGCAGTATCAATCAGGCTGATGGGTTTCCCCCTGTGAAGCTGCTTGGCGCCTTTTTGGTTTTGATATGTATGAGATGCATCCACCAGTTTTGCCTCTTCCTGTACATTTGCCCAATTCTCAGTTGATCCAGCTTAGGCCTCATGAAAAGTTGACATCAGTGGTTTCAGATGCTAAGCGTTCTAGAACCTGTCTTACAGAGTTTTTCCGAATGAATGCTGACCTACCTTTAGGAACAGGATTACTATATAATGAGTTTTCAGAGCACTATCGTTGGGATGCATCTGACAAGCATTGGTATAAGAGACAGAATAAGAAGATAGTCATTGGTAGGTTGGCATTTGTTGGACCTTCAGAAGGAGAAAGGTATTTTCTTAGATTGTTCCTGCACAATGTCAGGAGTCCAAAGTCATTTGAAGATCTGCGTACAGTTAATGGTCATATATGCGACACCTTTCATCAAGCTGCACTTAAATTGAAGCTATTAGGAGAAGATTATTCAGTTGATTTGTGTTTGAAAGAAGGGTGTGTTGTTCAAATGCCACTTACAGTTCGCAAGCTCTTTGCAACTGTGCTGATATTCTGCCAGCCTAGCGATCCTGTTTCTCTTTGGATGAAATATTATAGCTTTCTGTCTGAAGATTTTAAGCATAGATATCCTTCTGATCCACAAAAGGTTAGACAGCTGACTGTTAAATCAGTTGAGTGGTTCTTAGAATCAATGGGAAGTTCTCTTGCTAAATATGGATTAGACCATTTAGTTGAACCGGATGATGATGAAATGCGCAAACAAAAGATATAGAGGATGCATTAAATGCTCCAATACCAGAACAATGTCTGCAATGCAAAAATCAATTGAATCAGGCTCAACGAGAGGCATTTGATGTGATAATGAATCATATTACAAAGCAAGTTCCTGGAGCTTTTTTCATAGATGGTCCTGGTGGAACAGGAAAAACCTTTCTATATAATGCTTTATATGCAGAGATAAGACTAATGAATAGGATTGTTCTGCCGACAGCAACATCGGGTATAGCAGCATCTAATATTCCTTCTGGAAGAACTGCACATTCGCGCTTTAAAATTCCACTCGATCCTCTTGAGTCACGTGCCTGTAATGTGCCCAAGCAAGGTAGCCTAGCTTCCCTCCTAAGAGAAACAACACTCATTATTTGGGATGAGGCTTCAATGGCAAAAAAAAGAAAATGTTGAGTCACTTGATGAGTTGCTAAGAGATATATGTACTCCTCGCTTATTGTTTGGAGGTAAAATTGTTGTCTTTGGAGGAGATTTTAGACAGGTTCTTCCTGTTGTGCCTAAAAAAACACAAACCGAGGCAGTTGCTGCTAGCTTGGTTAGCTCTGCTTTGTGGCCACAACTTATGAAGTTTAGGCTAACAGAAAATATTCGAGCCAGGCATGATCCAGTGTATGCAGCTTTTTTGCTGGCACTTGGAAATGGAGAGCTGCAAGATTCTGAAAATGCATTTGTTCAGCTGCCATCAGAGATTATACAGCCTTATGATGCTGCCACACCTCAGGATCTGCATTTGACTTCAGCTGCTTTTCCAGAGATGGATATGCCTCTGTTTAGCGCAGATATATTCACTACTAGAGCTATATTAACACCAGTCAATGACAATGTTGATGTTATAAATGATATATTAATAGGCAAGTTCCCTGGTGAAACAGTGGTCTACAAGAGTTATGATTCAATGATTGATGATAATTGTTCCATATACCCCATTGAATTTCTAAATAATATATGTCCTGGTGGCATGAGTCCTCATGAGCTTATATTAAAACCCAATAGTCCTGTTATCCTGCTGCGTAACATTCTGCCATCATCTGGTCTTTGCAATGGAACATGCCTGATATGCAAAAAGTTCTTTTCAAATCTCATTGAATGCGTTATTGTTGTTGGCCATCACAAAGGAGAGCATGTACTGATACCAAGAATTAATCTAAGGCCATCAGAATCCTCAGCTTATCCTTTTCAGTTTCAGAGAAAACAATTCCCCATAAAGCTTAGCTTTGCAATGACTATCAACAAAGCTCAGGGGCAAACACTTAACAAAGTTGTTGTTTATTTGCCACGATCATGCTTTTCGCATGGCCAACTATATGTTGCACTTTCTCGGGCTCGTCAGGCATCATATGTCAGTGTTATAACTGACATCAATGCTGAAAAACCAAGTTTGGCTCATGTCAGAAATGTAGTATCCTACGATGTTCTTAATTTAGCTGGCACCATCTAGCTAAACCAGTGAGTTTTACCTTTCCATTTCCTAGGTTTATACTTTTTTTGAATGGATTTAGAAATTTTACTAATTTAACTGAGTCTTGTTTTCTGCTGCAGGCTATACTATTTTGCAATACAGATAGTTTTTCTGAGCATGTCATAGTTCATGAATTAGCATACTGGTTAATTTTCAAATTATGGTATGTTGTTTATCTATATGGAAAGTTTTTGAATCCATTATTTTGAAGTTAGGGAACCTTTAGCAGATTGCTGACATCTTCTAATGTGCATTTTTGTTCCATCTATGCAGTGTTCAAAGAATATTTTGCTAAAGGTACAACCATAATCTGTCTAAATCAAGTCTGGTGGGTGCATTCGGTACATCTGATTAATCTGAGAACTGAAGTCTCAAGTCTGGTGTATAATTTGCTTAATTAATATGTATTAAACCTCAACCATAATATGTATGAATCAGAATTCACCTTAAGCCTTGAATCAGATTTATTAATAAAGGCAGAGGTATGTTTACCATATATATATAGTTTAGTGGATCAATCAATACTTTCTGATTAGTTGTTTTTAAAAAAATTGTTATGATTATATAAAAAGCTGTAGTATTTATTATGTATCTAGATGTCTGTTTTTGTATTTTATAAAACTAATCATATGCCATTCGAAAGTATTTTAGCAAAAAGGCCATTTTACTATTAGTGTATCGTAATAATCTTTCGTGTGTGACAAGTTAATAAGTTGTGAAAACTTAGATTTAAGAAACAACACTACAAAGAAGAAGTTTTGATGAGAAAAAAAAACCCAAAAAAAAGTAGTCAAGATTTGGCACCCATTTCTAATCAAGAGGACAACCACTGTCTAAAAAGGCATTCTTTAGTTACTAGCTACCTAAGACATTCTAGATTCATAGAAAATAAGAGAATACTAATCATAAAAAAAAATTAAAAAAAAAGGCATACCAAAAAAAAGGGGGAAAAATACAGATATATAGAAAATTAGGTATGTGCTTACACATGAACTGCATCTTATGCTGATACATTTCAGCTTCTATAAATTCATGCTACTGTTTCAATTTTAAGAAGATTATTACACACATAAACAAAAAAAATAAAAAAATTATGCAAGGCATGCAATTTCTGCTTAAAGATATCAATATAGATATGGAACTCCATATTTAATTGTTAATCAAGTACATCCTACACTACAAATAGCTATTTTAGGAGTAAGACTTGCTGATTTTATGGAAGAAAAAACAGCAGACCACTATTACCCCAAACAGTACCATTGAATTCTTACTTTTTCCTTTAAATTTTATTTATTTATTTTTTAAAAAAAGATGTACTATAAGAATACAACACACCTACCTTAGGTCTTTCTATTACTCAGAAAATTCAATACCTCTGCAGTAGACCACAGAAAGGCAAAGCAAAGATAAGTTTACAAGGAGAAAGCTATATTCTATTCCATAAGCATTAAAACCTCTATTTTTGGTCAGGTATGATCAGTCTAAATGCTATTTCACTTCATTTATTTTAGAAATACAGTTGATTTGATCCCGAATTATTACTAGCTGAATATTCCATGTATAGATTGCATGTATTGTAGCATGAATATTCTTTAAAAGGTCTTAGTTGTGGTATAAGAAAAGCCATTATTTGTTTGGGTGCATTTATAGAGCTTCAAAATTACGTATACATAGAGATTTATAAATGCTTGTTAATGTTTTGGCTTAATTGGTATTTTACATGTGAGAAGACGCATATATATATCTATTCATCACAATATAAAAGGCAAGACACTTTTAGTACATCCATAAATAAAATTACCACCTGATATATCAGTTAGTTTAGGTTAATGATAGAGCTGCTCTAGATTCTAGGATTATAAGTTGAATAATTAGTTTAGGTTCATGATAATGCTGCTCTAGATTCTAGGATTATAAGTTGAATTACCAACTAAACAAACTAGACATGCTATAGACCTTAGACATAATTAGATAACATAATAGAATTTTACAATATAGCTTATATAATCTAGCTGTTAAAAAAGTTTGGTTTTATATTACAGAATTACACTATAATTGTTCCAACACTAAACTAAGCTACTTACATTATTCTAATTTTAGATAAGGCATGATTTTTTCTATGTTATTTCCATATGTCAGAGGCACTTTAACATTCTTTTAAAATCTAAATTATGAGAATCATTATTTTTATTAAACATTATACACATGTTTAACTCTATATTATAAGATTATAAAATAAATGTTCTAGCACTAAACTAAACATACTTAAATCCATTTGATTTGCCTATTTTATTAGCTGCATATCATTGATTATACTTTGAAACAGATTATCACTAAAAGATTTTTAGAATCAGTAGTATCTGTAACAATCATATATGTGTCCAGAGATTAGAATACATGAGCTATTAATTTTCTATAGGATTACCATTCTAAAAAGAGTCTAATAAATTAAGGAATAGAACTCATTACTCATCATACTTGTATATCTCTAACCCTAACTAAGTTAGCTTCTTGCTTATATTCTGTACAGAAGCTTGTTATGGAACCACAACGAAAGTTTCTTGATGAACTCGATGCATCAAGTAAATCATACAAAGTAAAAGTTAACATTGTAGAAAAAGGTCGAAAACAGGAATCTGAGAAGAAAATACTTTACCAGTACATTATCTTACAAGATGACAAGGTATAATCTGTATATGTGATTTACAAGTACACACTAATCTTATAATACATCACTATGCATGATTTTAGCTTAAGATATTATTTTTGTTTTCCTTTACAGAAAAATCGTATGAAGATGACATTATTTGGTGATCAGATTGATGCATATAAAGATGTCATTTTGTTTAGAGGAAACTATGAAATTGCTAAAGCCTTAATAAGGCCATTAGATGCACAGTACAGGGCTAGAGAAACAGATCTTCCATTTCAGATGACTATAGGAAGCAGATCTCTCATCCAATGTTTGGATCCTGAAGGAGAGCAAGTATTTCCTATATACCAATCTCTTGCCTCTATTCCAAAAGTTTCCCTTGATGATTCTCGACATGGTAATTTCAGTATCCTATTATCTTGCTCTAGAGATCCAAAAATTTCAACTTACTTCATTAGATAATTTACAATAATTTTCTCTTCTCTTTTAGATATCCTTGTGATTGTGTTGTATGTTGCAAAGGAACCAAGGAAAATTGTGACAAGTCTAAATTAGGAAACTTTTGTACGCAACCTGATTGTGATAGACCATAGGTGGTTTCATTTCTACATTCAATTAATAAGATGCCATTATGCAGTACAATACTTATGATAATTTAACTTTAACATTTATGTTTTGCTTAACTTTCAGCACTGATCAGTCGATGAAAGTCTGTACCTGGAATGATTTATCAGGAAGACAGTGTGAAGCTCTTGTTTCTGATGCTGACAATTTTAAGGTTGTTGGCATCACAGCTCTGCGTCCTATCACTCGCAAAGGTGGCTCAGAAATCAACCTAAAAATTATATGCTTTACTTAATTTATTCCATTGTATATCAATCACACAATAAATATTTTCTAACGTTTTAAACTTGAAGGTTTTTAACTTGAATCAACCATGTCTACTGTGATAATCCAAAACCCTGAAGGTGAAAAAGCAGCTGCATTAACTGAATGGTATGCTAATTCACATTCAAATTTCAGAGATACACAATATACATATTTTGCACACTTTTCGACTAATGTAGACTACAATTGTTATTCACAGGGCAAGAAAACATCGAGTTTCTCTAAGTGATCATCAGAATAGAGTTACAGCTGCCTGGAATCCACCTGCAGAAAGGACTCTAACAACAATAGGGCGCATCAAAACCAAAAAGGTAGGATTAAGATATGTGCTTCTTTTTAGTGCTAATGTAAGGCAATTTAAGCATGTGTTTGTTTGATTTATTTATTTTGATAAGTATCCTTTTTTAAGCATAGATAGTGATGGGTTTTCCATGCAGTTCTATAGTTACCTATAGTTTTATAAAATCTGTATATTCCATGTGTTTCTTGTGAAATCTTTCTGGTTTCCTTTTCAGAATGTGTATAAGAATCTTTCATTCTATTAGAGAGTGGTTTTCTGCTATAAGCTACCAAAACAGCTTAGCTTCTTAGAGAACTTGCATTATGCTTCTAATAAATGTTTACATGTTTTATATTGCTTTGTGCTCACTGTCAAGAGTAATACAAGAGTTATAACATAAACTTATGCTTTCAATGTAGGCAACAACAACACTTCCACAAGAAGTGTATTGGCTTAGAGTTGTAGCATCAGATATTCAATATGACAGGCTTAGAACATATATAGGTTGTTCTTACTGTGGAAAGCGAACGCAGCACCCTCTTGGAACAGTCTACACTTGCATAGCCTGTGACAGGAAAGAAATATTTGCTACTCACCGGTAAATGTCATTAACTCTTTACATTAGCTAATATAAATCATAGAACATAATATCCACTCAAAACCAACACTAAATAATTTTTCAAATTATGCAGGGCGACTATTACATTGACTTTCTCATATGGTACTGGAGCATTGCAGCTTACAGCATTTACTGAAAACTGCACCCCACTCTTTGGACTATCAGCTGAACAGATCTATCACATGAAGGCAACAATAAGTGATTCACGATCCATATTGCCTGTTAACAATCCTAAATATTCTTTTATTTCATTTAAATTTTAATAGTAATAATAAATAACAATATATCTATATCTTTGGATGATACAGCAAAATTTCGCCAGATAGCCGATAGACTATCAACTACATACTTTTTGATAAAGATTGGCCCTACAACTGCTTTAGAACAGAAAACCGTTCTGCAATGGGGTCTAAAGGGTGTAGAAATGGAAGACACAATCACACCTATTGCTGCAGGAAGCAGCTCCACAGATGCTGCTACAGGGTCTGAAATTAAGAATGTAGCTGCAACAGCTAATGCAGAAGGTGTTGAGTCTTATCAACATAATGAATGTGTAGCTCAGAACAAACATCCTCTAAGCAAGACCATTAAGAAAGAAACAGTTGCTTCATAAGATTTATCAGTCTTCAGCCAGGAAGAGGAAGATGCTTGCATAGCAGTAGAAGCGATGGCTGCAACACAAAAAGCAGCAGAATCTAAGACACAGGATATAGTGCGGAAAAGAAAGAGGGTTGATGTTGATGATCAATTTGTTCCTACCAAACTAGCAAAAGATGTTATTGCCCATGAAACAGCTTCAGCTATCAAGAATGCAGATCTAATCAAGGAAAAGGAAAAAGATCAGGCTATTCAAGC